AGGAAGAGGGAGAAGGGAGGAGGAGCGGGGGGGAGGAGCCGGGGGAGGGAGGATGAGGGAGCAAGAGAAGAGGAGGAAGAGGGATGAGGAGGATGAGGATAGGAGGAGAGAGGAAGGAGGAGGAGGAGGAGGAGACGAGGAGGATATTAGGATGAGGAGGGAGGAGGAGGAGGGAAGGGAGGAGGGAGGGCGGCGAGGGACGAGGAGAAGGAGGAGGAGGAGGAGGAGGAGGAGGAGGAGGAGGAGGAGCGAGGAGGAGGAATATAGATAAAGACACGCAGTGGGTAGGAGAAGGAGGAGGAGGAGGAGGCGGAAGGAAGACCAGGAGGCTGGAGGAAGACGAGGAGGAGGGGGGAGGGAGGAGCGCGCAGGTTGGAGCGAAGAGGAAGGGAAGGCGAAGAGGAGGATGACCAACGCAACGCCAAGCGGCGTCACTACTTGCAACACGCCCTCCCGTCCCAGAAACCAATCCACGCGTCGTGCCCATGCAAAGTGCTCATGTTGAACACGGGCGACAGCCCGTTGCGATGGCTATGACGCAGTCGGCATGCTGCCGCTTCAGAACTTTGGCATGATGGAGCAGGAAGATCGGCATCATTCAAGGGGCCCAAGGACACACACACACACAAATATACACACGTAACCGGATTCCCCATATTTTCCCATATGTTCTGGGTTTTTGTCTTTCCCCCCACTTCCCATATATTCCCATATTTTCTGGCGAATCGACGATTACTTGTGTCTGTGTGATTCTTTCCCTCCTGAATAATGGCCACGCCAAAAATGAGGGGGCTGAAAAGCCGGAAAGGTCAGAACCATGCGCATGGCCCTGCCATAATAGGGGTATTGGGAAGGATGGAGTGGCTCATGGACGTTGTGTTGCATTCCTACGCTCAGAACGTGGATGCGTTTGCGCCAGATGAGGCGGGTGGATGTATCGTCGGCTACGTAGCCCTCATCTCTCTTGCGCCTAAGCTGAGGTCGGGCCTGTCCCCCAACAGGGGAATCTTTGGGGCGAGAAATTGAAAATACCCTAAACATATCCCCACATATGCTCAGAAACTGTCAAAGCATCGTCCCCTGACAATTTTCTGACTAAAAATACCCTAACATACCCCATAAACGTTCACACTTGTCACACACACACACATACGAAAACGTCCCCAGACTATGTTCTGGCTATTTTTGAAGATCCCCCCTGCTTGAGGGGCAGGCCCGACTTCCGCCCACGCCGCGCCGGCCATGCGGCTTCGACCGCCGCTCGCCCCGCGTGGGCGCAGGCGGGGAGGCTCCGGCGCCCGACGCCCACGGCCTGCCCGCCCCGCGGGAGGAGGACGAGGAGGAATCCTCCTCGCCCTCCTCCCGTGGGGCGGGCCCGAGGAGGAATCCTCCTCGTCCTCCTCCCGCGGAGGACGAGGAGGAATCCTCCTCGTCCTCCTCCCGCGGATGGCGAGGAGGAATCCTCCTCGTCCTCCTCCCGCGGACGGCGACGAGGGAGGCCCGAGGCCGAGAGGCAACAGCAGGGGCCCGACCCGAGGAGAGAACCTTCCGCGAGAAGCCCAATACCCTGAGGCCCCGGGACTTCCACTGATGTTTTTTTTCGGGGTGGGAACGTCGCGCTCTCCGTCGCAAAGACATGGAACAGCCCAAGAAACCCAGGGCACCCTGGAGGCAAGCATTCGGCCGGGCATGTCCCCCTACGGGCGGGTTCCGGACGAGACGTAAAACGTACCAAACAAATACCCCCAAAGTAGCAAAACGAGTCTTCAAAAAACACATCCCCAGACTCTGTGTTACTACTTTATTTCTCCTATAGAGTAGGAGGGACAGGCCCGACTTGAGGCAAGCGGGGTGCTCCGTGGCGCGCCGCAGCCTGCCACCGGCAGGGCCCTGGGGCACCGCCCTGGGCCTGCGGCAGGACGCGGAGCCTCCGATCAGGGGGACGTAAGACCTGGGTACAGGGGACTCGGAAATCCCCGACGAGGTCGTCAAAAAATGACGAGGCCGAGCCTGCATTTTGACGAGGCCTCCCGCTGCAGACATCCCACGAAACTCCTCCTCGTCAAAATCCGAGGCGCGGTCGTCAAAAAACAATGGCGAACCCGAGTCCTGGCAAACCCCGGTCTGACGCTCCCCCGATCCGAGAGGAGCCGAGAGCCTGGCCGCGGGGACCCGGCGGACCCTGCGGGCGGGGCCCTCCCCGACTGGAGAGCCCCGAGCCAGCACCAGGACTCGACCAGCGCGTTCCACTGCTCGCAGAGTGGCTATATACTCGCAACTGGCCCGAACCCGCCGCGGGGGAGGTACGCTCCATGCCACAGGAGGAAGACCCGTTTTTTTTGTTTCTCGGGCGTCCGCGGGTAGGCACTCTGCGAGCAGTGGAGCGCGCTCTGTGAGGGACGGACGCCATGGGGGAAGATGGGAAGGTGGGGAAACGAATAATGATATAGACATAAAAACTCGGAGGTCCGCGCGGACCTCCGAGTTTTTTATGTATGTGTCATTCTTCGTTTCCCTGGAAGGGGGAGGGGGGGCAGAGAGGAGGGTCGGGCGCAGGAGGAGGGGAGGCGCAGGGTCAGAGGGGTGATCACGGAACTGCCCCGGCACTCCCCACGGGGGGAGGCGCCTCGCCCTGTTCCTCCCCCCCCCCCTCCCCTGGACACGTGGCGGGTTGGGCCAACAGGCCGAGCCTGCGCAAGCGTCAGGCATCGCCGAGCGCGTTCCACGACTCGCAAAGAAACTGCTCGCAAATGGCCTGGATCCGCCGCAGGGGATCTTCGATGAATTACATCAAAGCAGGCATGTGTGTTTTCGGACGTTTGCGAGTAGGCACTTTGCGAGTAGTGGAACGCGCTCGGTGAAGGTACTGGATGGAAAAGGAAAGAGAACCATGACCAAGTCTGACTGCGGAGACGTCAGCGTCGATCTTGGTCATCGCCAACTCGTGGATCATCCTCGTGGATCAGTGGTGGCCAGCATGGACCATGACCACGATTGGCGTAAGGCTGGAGGTTCGCATGGCTTGCGATGGCTTGGCAGGGAAAGCGAAGGCCGAATGTGTACATATAAGACGAATGACGCCTCCTGAAGGCACCGCGGGGTCCGCGCCTGCTTTTCCTGCCACGGTCATGCACCCAAGAGACAGGATAATCTACTGTGCTGGCAGCTTGCGCACTACGTAGGCGTAATCTCTACCTTGTAGGAGAGCTCATAATCCAATCGATAAGTCGGTTCGGCGATCGAAATACATCTGATCGGCGGAAATCGTCAGCCGAGTCGGGAGAAGTCGAACCCGCGGAAATCGGAAGGCCAACAAGTCTCAACAGAGAGGTCGGAATCCAAGTCGGAATCCGAGGTCAACTCGGATCGGAATCGGGAAGCCGTCGACCTCGAATGGACTTGAATCGGAGGAGTCGCAGTGAGCCCCGACCTTGTCGATCGCGAGCAGGCCGAGAATGACCAGGCCCGCATCGATGTCAGAAGAAGAAAGAACGCCATAAACATTAACTTATGCCGCTCCGCGCGAGTTCTTGGATCTGCGCTGGGACACATCTCCCTGGCGCGCGGAGCGCGCCAGGGGCGGCGTCGGAGGCGCCGCCGGGGTGCCCAGCGCGGATCCAAGAAATCCGCGCGGATTGCTAAAAGTTTATGTTCATGGCGCTGTCTCTTCTTCGAGATGTTCGTTTAGACCACCACCTCGTACATGCCGTCGATGCCGCCGGGTCTCACCCGGGCCACCGTCTGGCCCATGGCGCTGGACACCTGGGCGACGAACGGACACAGGTCTCATCTGGGATCTGCGGACCCGGGCCAGTGCAGGGGGCCCAGGGGCACACATGCACACACGCACACATATCCGCCGGCCCCCTTGTGGGGCCACCAGGCTGTAGGACCGTGATTCGCAGTTTCCTGTACCAGTCGTAGGTTGTAGTTTCCAGTGTTACAGTTCTGCTTCTTGCTGGTTACTGTAACTAGTTGACTTCTTGCTGGTTACTGTAACTAGTTGATTGACCGCGCGAGGGGGGGGGAGGCCCAAACAAGATTTTTAGCGTCTCCTGGGCGCGTTGTCTGAATTGCTGGGGGGGCTCGAAATCGACACCCCTCACGCAGATCCGCGGGGTCAGGGTCCAAAAACACATGGGATTTGCCACATTTCTGAAATTCGGTGCCACCCCTCACGCAGATCCGCGGGGTCAGGGTCCAAAAACACAGGGGATTTGCCACATTTCTGAAATTCGGTGCCACCCTTCACGCACATCCATCGCAAGGCGTGGTAACCCAAACTGCGAGAACTCCCTCGGCCCTTTAATCGCAAGGTGTGGTAACCAAGCCCGTAAACCATGCACGTCTTACCAATCGCCAGGTGTGGTAACCCCTCTTGTGATCAGTTGGTTTTGCTGATTGCGAATCGGCTTCGCATGAAGTTTCGATACTGCTTCACGACAGCGCCAAGGCCTCATGACTTAGCTCTTCCATGGCCCATTCTCCGAGAGAGGGGGCCGGCGGCAGGGGGCGAAGCCCTTACGGAGCAAGGGCTTCGCCCCCTGCCGCCGGCCCCCTGCCGCCCTATTCACACACTGGTGCGCAGAGACAAATCTCCCTGGCTTTCCGAGATTTTCCCATAACTCATGGGTTTTCGTCTCCCCCCCCCCAACTTCCCACATTGTCCCATGTTTTCCTGGGGATCGACGATCATTGTGTCTGTGAGTTTTCCCCTCGTGGTCAATGCAAATCCCAGCCAGTCGGGCTTTGCAGGGTCCGGCAGAATCCTCCAGGATCCTGTTAGATCTGGCGCTCTGGCTGACCGCCATTTGCAAAGACCCCCGTCTCAAGGCTCCCGATGTAACGGGATATGACATAGTGACCTCACGCCGCGGCTTGAACGGGCCGCCAGCGCGGCACGCCGCATTGGAAACGGGGCCGCTTACGTCAGACCTTGCGCGGGCAGCTCACGCGCAAATGTCGGCGAAGACGACCCCGTTCTTTCCTCCGTCGCTTAC